CGTTCACCATAAAGGCCACTAATCTGACCACAAAAATTCCACAGCAGTTTTTCAGCATGGTCAATTTGTGCAGGTGGTGTGATGGACTCCATCAACAGAATAAAGACGGCCTCACTAAGCAGCAGGAAATGGTTGTAGTAAAGGTCGGCAAGAATTCCTCGGAACACAACTGGTCCAAAAAATAACAAAATGGACCGGTACTCAGATGCTTTAAAGAACATTCTGTGAGAGGACAGAGATCGAGGGAATCTTATGAAAAATGGAGGTTGAATTTCTTTCATTCTTTTGTCCACCTCTGTAACTGATTTGACAAGGCTAAAAGCACTTCGAGAAAACTCAGTGGAGAACCACAGAAATATCAATGTCCGCATGACCCCCAATAAAACACAGTGCATGTAGTCTATGCCAGTACTCAGCACCAAGTTATAGTTTTTTAGTCTGCTGAGATATGTAGGGCCCTTTACACCTTGTACAACACTGTCAGACTCATAGGCTAGCTTAGCATTATCTATGAGGCTGTTGTGGGTACGTGGCAAGCCTTTTGGGTTTGCTGCCTGGAATGGAAATGAATGGACATGGCCTCTCTCTCCTGTTTTTACTGTTTGGCCAGGCTGTTCACATTTTAAACATCCAAACTTGCCATTAAATTGGACAGTGTTAAGTACCATTGCTTTTGCAGGCAAATCACATGTTCCTGCAATAGTGAATACTTTGCATTTGAAAGGTTCCTGTGCCTTTGCAAACTGAACTGTAATGCCATCTTGTTCTATTTTGTTAAGAGTTTTAATCAGCGGTTCAAGGAATGTTAACATTGATGGCTTTGAATCCCCAAACCAAAGACCTGCCATTATCATGTTTTCACGTTTTGTGCGCTGAACAAAGCTTAACTCATTTATTATACAATAAAAGGGCCACACAGAAAATTTAGAGGACTTAAAGACTGGTATTCCATCTGTGTTCCATGTAAAAGAAATGTTTTTTGGGTCACACAGGGGCCCTTTGCATGTTGAAAGTTTTTGATAAACCTCACCATCATAAATGTCTTCAACACTGTKATGGTCTTTTTTCTCTCTTTCAAATCTAAACATTAGTTGCTCTTCAAATCCTTCCTTAGCAAACAGCGATTTAAGCTGTGCTTCAATGGAAACTTCAATAAAATATGATGTAGAGCCTTCCACTGACAAATCTGCTTCACAAGATTTACATTTTGTGTCAGTGCTTTCAACTGATAATAAACACACACTGCAATATTTGTGCAAAATTACATTTGAAGATGAGGAGTTGTCGAAAAATTGTTTAAATTTTTGTAGATTTTGAAGACATTCTGTTTGGATGTCATTTGGACAGTGTAAGCTAATAAGTGTGATCAAGTCATTAAGTGCTTTCCCTGTCAAYTTGTGTCTGTTTGCAAATGTCATTATAAGTACAAGGCTTTCTGCAACAGAAATCGGCGCATCAGTGTAAAGTGGTCCATCTGTAGTGTCTGTGCAAGAGCTTAATCCCATATCCTCCTGTACATTGAACATTGCGCTGTCCTCATCTGTGAAATCATCAAAAAAGACTTCATCTTCTGACAGATGATCAGGAGTACTTGTCTGTTTTATGTCTGATGAAACGTCAAGGCTGTGTGATRCTGTTGGGTGTTCATCATGCTGAGGCAGGTTCAGCAACTCCATAACTRAAGAGCCTTCAGGGTTAGCAAAGATGTTATCCTCATCATCTTCAGGAATGGCAGAGGGTCCTTGATGTGTGGTATCAYTTTGTGGTTCTTGATCAGTCAGTTCTGTGAAAAAATAAGACGAAAATGCATTATTTGATATTTCTAGCTAAAATGTTTGTGCAACATTCCTACTATTTAGTAGGGGTGCAATACTAAAAATTCATGATTCGGTTTGATACTAAAGTGTCACGGTTGAATATTTTTTTCAATACAAATAAAGATAAATTTCCATGCCCTTCTTAACTTGTAATTTATAGAAATTAATTATGAACATTTGTTTTTAAATTAAATGTTGCTGAAACAGCAAGTTTCTCAGTGGATCTGTGCTCAAAAATGCAGCCTAGGTGGAGTAGTCGAACACAGATCCACTGATCCTTCAACACTGAGCATCTTCAGAAGACAAGCGGAGAAATTATACTTTAAAAATCTGTTTTGTTCAATCTATGGC